GCGTAGCCCTGGACATTGCCAGTCTGAGGCTTTTCTAGCACACAGAGACCCATCAGAAGGTGGGAAGAAAAGGAAAGGACTGTAGAAGGAAAGCTCTGAAAAAATGGCCTGTGAACAAAATCTTATGACTTCTCATCATGGCTTCACTCCAGATGCACTGATACAGTAGTGATGTAGGAGGAAGGTCCAAGCCGGTGTCATCTGGAGGGATGCCGTGAACCATGGCTTGGCCTATCCTTCAGCATCTCACAGGACAGGGCCATGGAGAACAACTGGTTTAGGTCTGAGGGCAGGTGCATGGGTTCTTTTTCAGTGCAGGTTCCAGGGACCAGATTTCCTCTCCTAAACACTGTATCCTTGCCCCGCAAGGAACAAAGAGCTACCCTGCACATATGAGAAGGCAGGCGGCACATCCAAATTGTTCATATCCGGAGACATTACTGTGTTCATTCGCCCTCCACCAGACAGCTGCAAGGAAGCTCTTGGCTCTGAGCCTGGTGCAACAGTGCAGCAACACAGAGGTAATACACCCAGACCTTTCCTTCCTTTGTCATTTCTCAAAGCATCTGGGATCTTATTTCCTAAAAAAACAAACCAATATCTGAAAATTACCCGAAGCTCGTCAAAATCAGGAGATTGGGACGGCTGAAAGTGCCATCTCACAGATGTTTTGCTACACCTGTGGGCTATCCCACTTTTTATTCTCTAAAGCCTGTTGGAATAGTCATTGTTGGAATAGGCTCCTGTGAGGCCCCAGAACCACTCTTCTGAATTTGGTGCCACACAGGACCAGCTGATTTCTGCTGAACTTCTCTCTACTCTCTTTCACCTGCGCTCCGCTTTCCAGCCTGGGGCTGAACCCTGTTGCTTCTTGTCAGTCGATTTTTCGGCTTCCTTGCTGCCCCTTTTGATGTCCCGTGGCTCCCCACAGGCAGGGGCTCTGCTGGGGACTCTCACTCACTGGCTGCCAGTGTGGTTCCAGACACCACGTCGCAGATCCCACAGGAAGGTGATGAACAGAAAACCCTCACCTGCAGCCAAGACGCCCTGTGGGGTATTTCCATTCTTCATACACCACAGTGCTTCCCTTTATTTGCTTCCTCTTAAACACCTACTTGGTATTTCTTAAAGGGAAAGAAAAGGAAAAGGGAAAAGAAGAAGAAGAAGAAAAAGGAAAAGGAAAGGAAAAAGAAAAAGAAAAAAAAGAAAAAGAAAAAGGAAAGAAAAAGAAAAGAAAAAGAAGAAAAAGAAAAAGAAAAAGAAAAAGAAAAAGAAAAAGAAAAAGAAAAAGAAAAAGAAAAAGAAAAGAGAAAAAGGAGGAAAAAAGAAAAGGAAAAAGAAAAAGAAAAAATAAAAGGAAAAGAAAAAGAGAGAGAGAGAAAAAAAGGAAAACAAAAAAAAGAGGGATGACTATTAATTAAGCCTAGGATTTCCCAAATACCTTCTCAGAGGCTTTTGGTGAAGATCAAGTGTAACATAACATTAAATATTTAGTGTGTCCTTTCAAAAGGGATTTGATCTTTACATATGAAAAAGGGATGAGACTTAAAGATTAAACAGATCTTTTTAATATCCAGCTTCAGTGACTCAAAATAACAATGCAAGCTGCAATGACTGAAGAATTTGCATATGGGGGATTAGGCATAGTGATTACACATTAGGGACAGAGCACAGGTCTAGGGAAGCTGTGCCATATTGAGGGTGTCACTGAGGGAGACACAGAGATACCTGGGAGTAGAAACAGTGACAGCCAAAAGGAGAGAGGCAGGAAAAGAAGTGACCACATACATGAGAAAGGGATGTGTAGCATTCAGATGCGGTGGCATCATAGTTTCCAAGTTGGCCATCAAGTGAAAAACCCATCCTACTACACTACTGTGGGATCTCTCTGTATACGATGAAGCTCAGGAGTCTTCCCAAAGGACTCTGAGGAATCCCTCCTGCTAGACACTGGATCAAAACTACCACTTCTGCCCCAGATAGTATATTCAAACAGAAGGCACAATGCCATAGGTATGTATATTTATATATACACTTGCACATGTATTAAAAAAGAGAACAAGTGAAATGTGCTTCTAAAGTAGACAAAAAAATATTTCAAAAGGCAGAATCATAGGATGGTTTGGGTTGGAAGGCACCTTTAAAAGTCATCTAGTCCAACCCCCCTGCAGTGAGAAGGATCAACTTCAACTAGATCAGGTTGCTCAGAGCCCTGTTCAACCTGGTCCTGAATGTTTCCAGGGTAGGGGCATTCACCAGCCCTCTGGCAACCTGTTCCAGAAAAAACCCTCATCAGAAAAAAATTTCTTCCTTATATCTGGTCTCAGTCTACCCTCATTACTTTAAAACGATTGACCCTTGTCCTATCACAACAGGCCCTGCTAAAATGTCTGTCCCCATCTTTCTTGTAGACCTCCTTCAAGTACTGAAAGGTCACAAGAAGATTTCCTTGGATCCTTCTCTTCTCCAGGCTGAATAACCCCAGCTCTCTTTCCACACAGGAGAGGTTTTCCAGCCCTGTGAAGAAGAAAGGGAAAATCACAACATGCACAGATTGATGAAATTAAGGGTTAAAAGAGAGGGATGCCCCTGCTGCCACAAAACCTTCTCTTTTTGTGCTTTTAAGCAAGTAAACCGTGAGATGAAGACAGCTCATGTTAGAGCTGGCAGTTTGTTTCTCTAAATGTCTTTGGGAGAGCTTAACTAATGTGATGTGGCAGTGGCACGAGGCACAACACAGAGCTCTGCCTTGGTAGAGACCAGCCAAACACAGCCAGAGCTGCACTTCACTGCTGCCCTGGCTCAAGCCCCTTTTTCACTTCAGTCTTTCCTAAACAATGCATTAACAGTGTTTGGCCTGGAAAAACATGCTTGTCTGTGAATCAGCTTCTGTGAAGTTGATTTCAGCCTTTTTCCCAAGTACAGCTCTGTGCCATTTTCATGTCTGAATGAGCAGTAACTACCTACATGGGAAAAAGGTGGGGGTGGCTCAGTCAAGAAAATAAGCATTCCCCAATCTTTCCACAACATCCCAGTTTCAATTGTGTTGCTTTTTTGTTCTGTGGAGCAAAACCCTGAATGATTTCAGTCATTTCCCTTTCAAAATAATTGCTTTCCTGATGCAGCCTTGGACAGCCCAAGCAAAGAAGTATTTTTCTTTCTAGCAAACCTGGTGAAGGAGTGACAGATACTGCGAATGGAGCCCTGGTGAGCTCAGCATTACTAATGCCCATCAGATCCAGTTCTCATCACTGTAGTGCAGCAACTTGTAAATCTTTAAATGTACTAAAGCTGGTGAAACCTGTCTTCAGTTTGCCATTTAGATTTGCCAAATACAGAATCAGAAGACACTGTTATACACATTGACTTACCAGGCAGCTCAAGCCAGAGGTTCCCTAAATTAATTTGCCTTTGAGCTAGAATATTTCTGTTTAAAAATACATGGTAGGAAAATTTCTGGGATTTGAAAAATCCACACCAACCTATGGTAAACCTTTACCATGTTTGGTTAATGTCATTCCTAAAATGCATTCCCTTTGATCTAAAAGCCCCATATGCTGACATCCAGCTCCAGGTTTTGCTGCACTTTTTGGTCCACATTGATGAGCTCCCTGGTCATATTTTTATTCTCTTTAACATCACTTATAGTGGGGTTCTCATTGCCTTCCTTTGGATAACTACAATGAGGATGTCTCCAGCAGAGCAGGTCACCACAGGCTTTTTATACTCAGTTGAGGGAAACAGGTACTTTGAGGATACATCTTTGTCACCTGTTTTTGACCTCTCCTTTAGCAGAAGAAGAATTGCACCCCTAAAGTGCTTATTCCTCTGCATTGACTTCAAAGCGAGTCTAAAGGATAGGTTTAAATATATCTGTGCTTAGTCAGATGAGAACCACCCAAGCAGGCGGCGATCCAAGCCCTCAGAACTCGTCTCTGACAAATTCTAAAACCACTCTGAGAGCCTCAAACACTGTTTTACAAAGCACAGTTATCACTCCTTCTAGATACACCCATCATACTTCCTCAATCCCTCAGAGTTTCCCAAACCCTTCCTGCAGTGGTTGCTACTGTTATTCATAAGATTCCACTACATCCCACTAGCCCAGCATTCCAAGCTGGGGAGTAAGCTCCCCACCCATGACAAGGGTGTGGCATTGTCACCTTTTGGGGTGAGAGAAAATTGGCCCAGAGCAAACCCACAACAATTTTTACTGCCTTGCCTGTGTCTGTGGAGAGCTTCAGGGTCCATTTAGCAGCTCCATGTTGCAATGAGGCTGACACCTAAATAAGGCATGGCATGTCCCTTCTTCCCGTGCAAGACAGCTCTGCTGTGCCACCCCTAGCACCTCATCCAAAACACTGGGATGCACTGAAGACATGGGATAAAAAAGGAGACGTTGACTCGAGGCCAGAATGGAGTTTCCTCATCTGTCAGAGAGAATAGTCTCATTAAATGGAAAGCCTTCTTCGTTTGGCCAGGAGAGCCCCAAGGAAAGATTAACTGCTGTGAAAGAGTTTCTGCAGGAAAATGCCACTTTCCTGCTGGCAGAGAGGGTGCACATTTGGCTTCCACCATGGCCCATGGCAGAGGCAGGCAGCTCTGCAGCTACAGTGACACCAGTGCTGGCTCTGGCCACTGTTTCTGCCCTCAGGGACAGGCACTGGAGCTGCTGGGCAGTGGTGGTGTCTCCCTCCCTCCCTGGTTTCCCCAGACTGCCATATCCCCATACCCTCTGTTCCGGATCTTCTTTTTGGAGAGCCTTTTTCCTGGACACCCTTCACCTGCACCATTTATGTGTACTTTCACCTCATCCAAAAATGCCTGTTCTCTCCTTGACCTTTCTCAAGGACACTGAGGACAAGAAGCAAGCAAGCAGACTGACAGAGACCAAAAAAGAGGGGCCCATTTTCCTTTCCCTCGTCAGCTCATGGAACTATTTGCTGCTTCTGCAAATTAAGAGAAGTCCTTGCTTGCTGTGGGGTTGTGTCTAGGTCTCTGCTGGGTCGCCAAAGTGCCTGGCATTCCCCTGGAAGCCAACAGAAGGAAGACAAGTTCTCTTCTTTCTCAAGCAGAAGTATTTGCCTACACCTCATCCAGCCTGCAGGAAAACATCCAGTCTCTAAATTAGGGAGTTGCCACTACTGCAAAGCAGTGGAGAAATGTGCAGAGCAGAAGGGAGCACAAAAAAAAAGACAATAAATGCTCCATAAGTGGATGGTTTGCATATTTGGAATGACCACCTGGAGAGATGGCTGACACACCATCTATCCAGGCAGCTTCAGGCTCTTCAGAGCAAACAGCACAGATCCAGCACAGAGATAGCTGCCTTCCTATACTGGAAAGCCAATCCTGTCCCTGCCAGTCCTTTCTCCTCCAGCCCTGCCCTGATAACTGCTTGGGCTTAGCATTCATTCCTCAGGAAAGGGGGCTTGGCTGAGCCTGACTCACAGCCAGCTCATGCTCTGCAGCCCAGGAGGAGACAGACTGAGAGCACCTGCTGTGCCAGGGACCTCGTTTGGGCTGGCCCACCCAGCCCCCAGGCCCACAGCACTGCAATGAGGACAAGGCATGCACAGCCCTGCTGACTTGTCTCCCTACCACTTGTGTTCATGTGGGCAAGGAGAAACTTCAATCTGTTTGCATATTCATATTGCTTCAAAAGTAGTAGTGAATTATACTAATATTAATATAAGATGATATTACTGTCACAGAACTGGTTTTTTTTATTTTCTTCCTGGCTTGGTTTTGACAGAGATCCATGTGTTTAAATTGAACTTTTTCCCCATTAGTTTTACTACTAATTCATCCCACACTGATTTTCCCTCAGCTGTGTCTTAGCTTTTGCTTCTACACAGTTCATCAATAGCAGAGAATTTCCTTAAGAGGTAAACAAACCCTTCGTTGTCTGCAATTATTGTTGCTATTTTTTTCCATATATTATTCATCACTGGTCCTCGCAAAAGTGGGTTGTTTTGTTTTTAAACATGTCTATTGAGGTAAATCTAAAAGGAAATCAAACATCCTACTGGATAGAATGCTTACAGGCAATGAAAGTTCCCAAACATTGATGCTTCTTTCCTTGCTAAGGAAATCTCCACCAGTGCTACAGCTGTTGAACACAAGTCTGGGGAAAGGCATTACTCCAGACACGTCAAAATACAGATCTGGTAGGTTTGAGCCTTTGGTCTTCCAGCCATTTCCTTGTGTGTGTAATTAGCATTGATCCTGAAATATAAAGCAGTCCTTAAGAAGCACAATACCTGCTAACTAAATTGCATTGTTACACACAATTATGTATGTCTTTCTCAAGGATAAACCTTAAGGATTAATTTATGCTTGTATAAAGACATCATACCTCCTTGAATAACTGGGAAGAATATTGGTAATGAAGCTGTTACTACAAGACAACTAATTTTAAAAAGTCCATCTTTGTTCTGATGCCTGGTGCAGAGCACGAACATGCTCATTGCAGACACTGAGACATTGAGACAAGGCTTTGGGTGAGGGCTGTTAAGTGTGGCACAGACAGAAAAGGATGGGTCAAGGGAATTATGAGCAAACATCAAATATCAATATGGGTAATGTTGCTTTGCAAGAAGTGTGTCTGCCTGTTTCTAAGGCAGAGTCCACAGAGGTGAAGGAAATGCTCTTTCTTATTTCCACTGAACTGCATA